TATCGAAAAAATATCGAACCGTGACACCAAAGTATCGAACCGAACCGTGAATTTTGTGTATCGTTGCACCCCTAATAGATAGATAGATAGATCTTGTAGGACTATGAAGCTCAATGTTGCACTAGAGATTATTACTAATAATAGGGCATCTTCTGCATACATGAAAAAAAAATCTTAAATCATTCTCTGGATACTTCCCTCTATTTTTTTCTAACAGAATTATTACTGAAGACTGCCATAACTCTCATTCATGCCGTGGTGCTTTGATATGTTGGGATTAGGAAACCACAGTTGATGCCCAATGAGGGAAAAGACTGTATAAATGGGACTGAAGTTAGATGCATGATTTGCTTTAAAGGCGGTAAATGGGGCAGAGAGGAGCAGGTATGATAAATCTGTGTCATTGACTGTCCGTCTCACATCACTGCCCTATGAAGGAGGCTGCACAGACACAGATGAAGAGTGAAAGTAAAGGTACGTCGACAAAATGTGCTGCATAGAAACAAAATACATGAATAGTGTCATGTATTTGTTATATGTATATCATAAAATAGACGCTATCAGTCCTAACAGCTTTGTACAGGTCTGCAGTAACTCTTCCCTCTAATTATAATAAAAAATGCTTTTTCTCTAATTTGTTAACTGCCTGTGTGCACACTGAGCCTAACACATTTGTATTGTTTGTATTGTTTGTTTTGTATGTGGATTACATAGAGGAAAAAAACCCTTCACACAGAGCATACGCTGACTCATATACCGTGATAACAAAATAAAAGGCCACGTATCGTAATGTAATGTAATCCAATATAAATCCAGTCTGCCTCCATGGACAGGCTTTAAAACATTATTGTGACCAATTGTATTACGCTGCATTATAATGTTAAGTGTTTGTGTTATATTGTCTGTCCTGCGGCAGTGTGTATGCATTCACATTGCTTATGATTAATACCTACCTGAAATTTTCTGAAATGTAAGAACAAAGCCATCAAAGTTATTATAGCCATCAGAGGTGAAGAGAATGTGTAGGAAGTTCCCGGAGCTTTTTATTGGAGGAGGTAACTGATCCCCACAAAACCGACCAATCACAGGAGAAGTCAGGCTGTCACCATCACGGACCTCGACGTAATCGTAACGACAGCTGTGGTCAGACTCCAAACTCAGCAGTGAAAATCTGCAGCAAAACAATACAGAAATGATGTTTGTCACCTGATGTGAGTTAATCCCCATGCCAAGTCTGATGTATAGCACGTTAACAGGACAGATATAAAGCGGGATGAATGAGTTATACTAGTTAACGGCAATCCAAAGTATAGATTTGAAAGAAATTTCTATATCTTATGTTAATGTTCTACTATGTATTTTTACTGAAAAGTACATTATTTTCCCAAACAAACAAAATGATACCATTTGTTTTGTAACTGTTACCCTGCTTTGAACCCAAGAATGTCCTCACTCTAAAGTACGCTCATCTCCAGCTCTTTTATTATTCCAACACAGTCAATTGCAACCGCCAGATTGCTTGACTCTCTCCTGTATCATCTGCAGCTCAGCAGTTCTTTATTACCTGAGGTCACATTGATCCCTTCTGAGCCTTTCAAATAGAGACTTAACTAAATCTTTTCTCTTTGATCAAATCATGTGCCTTCAGTTTTGAATGATTTTCATATCAGATCTTTGGAAAAGTTACCTACCTGAGCTGGATACTGCTCCCCTTCTCCATTTGCACTATCCATTCACATCGAGCATTTGTTGGGTAACTCTCCAGGGCTATGTGACCCTGAGCTCGCTGAATGATGCCTCCACATGCTACCAACAAGAGAACTATAATTACTTATACTTATACCCATTAAATGTGTACTTATCTCAGTGGCACTGAGCATTTTGACTGTTGCAAGCTAAGCCCCATAATTTGACATGCTGTGTAAGAGGGCAGATAATACCAAAAAAAAGGAAAAAGGAAAAAGAAATATACATATATGTGCGTGTGTGTGTGTGTGCGGGGAGGATTCGGATGGTTCTGATTATCATCATCATGCTATTAATGCTGTTAAGAAAAAGCAAGACGAGATACTAAAGCCATGTTGAATTGATGTTGACCAGTCTTCGCTAAGGGAATGGGGTTGTTTAGAATTTTAAAAAAATATCCCAGAATAAGATCATTCAGTCTATTCAAGAAGTTGGTCAGACTGTGTAGAACATTCTGTAAAAAGCCTGTGTAAGAGAGAGATTGCCCAATGTCCAAATGCCTTCTTTTGTGTAACTCAGAATGTTAGAACATGACAGAATAACACCTGAGTGGCAATTTCCCCAACGCCATTAAATGTAGAGAATGGAAAAAGTACCATGTGAGAGAATAGGAGTGGCAACTAAGTAAACTTTTTTACTTTGCACTAATATCAGCTTCATGTTGCACTGAGTCTCACACTACAGTTGGTCTAAATTATTACGTGGTGGTTGTTGTTGTATCTGTATCTGTAGTTGTTTATATATATTTTTTTTTTTTTTTAAGTAGTATTCATCCATCTTTTTATTCTTTTTGTGAACTTGAGCTCTAAGTATACACTAGGCTGCATACAGTTGTAGGCAAACCAATAAAAAGCACTGTCGCCACCAAATGTCCATAATGTGTATTGCAACGAAGGTTGTGTCATTTTGAAAATTCTTAACCATAGATCTGATTATTAAACAGCTTTTCCCGTATATCCTTTGCTGCATACATGAACTGTACATACTTTGGAGATGCTAAAGATATTTATTTTACATTAAATGGTGGTGATGTTTCCTCTTGATGTTTTCTTCCCTTTACACAACACTCTGAGCCACAGGATGTCATAGGGTATCAGCATCTCAGACAAAAACAAAGGTTCTTATGTTCCTTGGAGACATGTATTAAGTAATTTAATTAATTTAATAAAGTAGTTTACTAAAAGGACAAGGTCTCAAGGTTATTAGCCCTGCGACAGACTGGCGACCTGTCCAGGGTATACCCCGCCTCTCGTCCTATGACAACTTGGATAGACTGCAGCACCCTAACGCCTCCTCACCACAACCCTGATAAGGATAAGCGGATAAGAATGGATGCATGGATGGATGGACGCCTGTTATTCAGTCATAAGTTTTACATTTTTTTGTTTTACCTGCCTTTCAGCAGAATTGTTGCATTTGTGGCAACAAGCACTGTCAGCATCAACTCTAATGAATTGTAACTAAGGCCAGGGTCTGTCAGTGTGTGTGTGTGTGTGTGTGTGTGTGTGTGTGTGTGTGTGTGTGTGTGTGTGTGTGTGTGTGTGTGTGTG